GGAAGAATTTACAATGGCAAGTTTTCTAAAGTAAATACTCTAAGAAAATGGAGGTCAAGGGCTTAGAGTCACAAAGAAGCCTACCTAAAGTTTAGTTAAACTGAAGGGAATATTAAGGCCATCTTGTCCAATAATAATAATATTCATTTCATGAGCTTGCTGTGAGCATTAAATGAGTTCTATATAAAGAACCGAGTGCCTTACACTTATTAATCACTAGAGAAGGGCTTAAAATTATTAATGTTAAAAATAATGTCTCAGATTTCTTCCATTTCTAAGGTTCATTAAGTCTTTAGAACATGCTGGCTTTAACACAGGGAAAAAAATATTTTCTCATGAAACAACTATAAGTCTCAATTACCTAGGTGTTGGCTTGTATTCTTCGTTTCTCAAGGTGAACTTTCTATCTCCAGCCACCTTCCTGCCCTTGCTCAGCACACCTCCTGCTGACTGTTCTAACACATGTATAACCCCTAAGGTCACAGGAAATATAAACTAACTTCACAGTCTTTATAAACCAAACCAAATTAAATACTGAATCTTCTAGGGATGAAGAAGGTTAATGTTGGGTGCTTGTTAAGATCTAATCCAAAATGACTGTTCTATTATCTGCTGATTGGCATGACCATTTCCCCATAACCACCTCTTTTTTTTTTTCTTTTTTTTTTTGGTGTGAAGATGGGAATTAATAGTATGGAGGTAGCCAAAGAAAAAAACCACTGCTTGGTCTGCCTTTTCTTAGTCCTGTCTCCATGGGGACACATTTCCAGATAGGGCTATGACGGGAGACCTGAGCTTGGATGGCAAAACGCTCTAGACAATTCCTGTGAAACTTCTGTAATGTGGATGGAAAAGGGGCCACAGATTAAACCTGACAAGTTTAGGAGAGAGTAAAACTCAGATGGCGTGAACACACACACACAAAATTTTTTAACTAAGTGGGCCATGGTGGGAAGTCAAATCTCAGAGTTTCCTCATTAAGTTAATCTGTGCCTTTTCAGTGGGCCTGTTCTTTGTCTTTTTGTACCTAAAATAACATCTTTAATCCTTTTTCCAGACCAGAGCTAGAAACTGCACAATTCCTCATTATCATGCCTGTCTCCTGATTACTATCGCTATGTGCTGTAAAGAGCAAACTGTTAGCTATCCTGCTTGCTCCCACTTGTGTGGGAAGAGTACCTGTCTCTCCAATGTACTTTTATCCATTCCCAAAGATTTCCCCACTTTGCTTTCTCCCAATTGTGATTAATTGTGACTAATTGGTGATTAATCTACCATCAATGAATTTCATGTAACCTTCCTTCTTTGATTTTATGTATAAAATAAACTGCAAACTGCCATTTTGTGGAGCATTTTCTCAATCCGTTGAGATTTTGCTTCCCAGCAATTGTCGACAGTTTGGCTCAAATAAAGTCTTATAAGTTTTCTTTTAGGCTGGATATGGTAACCACTTTGAGCACCTCTTGTAATTGCAGAAGTCAAACGTGATTTGTATTCCATCATCTTTTGTTATCGGTATATATTGACTATTACAATTTTAATACAGTTCTTTCCTTTCTTAAAATGTGTATATATACATTATTTTGGCACCCTCTGTATTTGGTTGCCAATCAACAATCATATGTAAGTGGGTGATTTCTGTGCATGAAAGCAAACAGGCAACATAACTGACTACATGAGTTAACACCCTTAGGCACAGTACCTTGTGCACACATCATACCTCAGTCAGACTGACTGGGGGGAGTGACTTAGTCCCAGCCATGGAGGCTATCACTACTGTGTGAACTTTATCAAAGAAACTATCCCTTACTCTCTATGGGCCTCAACTTCCTCATTTGTAAAAAAATGGGAATAATGTGAAAGAAAGCTGCTTTCCTCTCAGTTATTGTGAAGGTCAGATAAAAGAATAAGGGTGCTTTGTAAACTATAAATCATGTACATAATAAGTCAATTTATTATTTCTTTTTACAAGTTGCAGTTTAAGGCACAGCTACTGTCTTTTCATATCCCATTCCTTAAATTTACCCATAAATTCAACTTTTATTCTATAATCAAGGTTAATGTATCTATATCTTAAAAAAAAGTCTATTGTTCAGGATTTTTCCCTGTCGGCTGTCATCAGTGTGAGTCAGTAAGCTTCATAAGGGTGCCTCTGACCTTGGGACATGCAGGAGGAAGAGAGAAATGAACACAGGACTGAGAAAGCAACCTTGGCTCTAACCTGCTGCCTGCCCCTGGACAAACCTCTTTCCATCTCTCAGCCTCAGAGTCCTCATTCACTTCCTATTACAGCTGTAGCAGCTCCCCAAATCCATATCTACCTTTCCTCCTAAAATTTTCTCTACAGATCTCTACTATTTAACATTCCTGGGCCGGCTGAGTGGTGCGTTGGTTAAGAACTGGCTTGGGATGCCAGAGGGCCCAGTTCAGATCCCATATACGAGGGCCAGTGACACTGCCCTCCACAGCTAAGATGCTGAACAACAGCTCAACCTGGAGCTGGGCTGCCATGAGTCGCCTGCAACGGG